GTACTTTTTTCGGGGGGGGGGGGAAAATCGGCAGCACCCATCCCCCCCCCGCCCCAGGAGCCGCCTTTCGCTCTCCCTTGCGGTCGCTTCTTTCCGGCCTGGCCCTGCTACCTTCTTCAGCCCCACAACCACTTCCCGTCACACACACACACACACCCGTCGCCTGGCAACCCCCCCCACACCGGTTACCGTGACAGCATGGACGGGAGGGGGGGGCGGGGACCATTTTGGAAATGGAAAAAATAAACCCTGAAAAACCACCTATGACGCAAGCAGAGAGGATCATGGGAGACGCGCTCTCTGGGGCGGGGAACAGGGCAGGGGCCTGTCCCCTCTAGGGGGCGCCGGCTCCCACCCGGCCCCAGGGCAGGGACTGGCTGGCGCAGGGGGCCAAGATGGCTCCCAGCCATCCCAGCATGCACTGGGGGCCTCGCGCCCTCCTCCCGCACCCCAAAAAGGAGGGTGGGGGAGGGAAGTGGCAGCAGATTTGGGGGGGAGGTGGGGAAAGTGGTCAGCCCCCTCTCCGCCCTGGTATCGGGGCGGGGGGCTGGCTGGGAGAGAGAGACACACCCAAGGGGGACATGATGTGTGTGTTTGTGTGTGTGTGTGTATGAGAGAGATTCAATACACACACACAGAGAAGGGGGACATGGTGTGTGTGTTTGTGGGCGTGTGGAGAGAGAGATTCAATACACACACACACAGAAGGAGGACATGGGTGTGTGTGTGTGAGATAGAGCAAGGGATACCCCCGAGGGACATAGATCTCAGGGGGGGGGGTGTAGCTACGCCCCGTCCCCAAGCGGCACCGGGGTGTGGGGACGTAGCCAGGCGGGCACAGCCGTGCTTGGCACCTGGCTACAAACCCCTCCCCGCCCCCTGGTCCTGCTGGGGCCCTGATCTCCATGTGTGTATGTGTCCCTCCATCCTCTGCCCCAGAGCCCTGATCCCCGTGGGGAGTGGGGCCCTGTGTGTCCATCCCTCTGTCCCCTGATCCCCACTGGGGGGGGGTGGCTGTGTGTGTCCGTCCCTCTGTCCCCTGCCCCCAGGTCCCTGATCCCTATGGGGGCCGTGTGTGTCCGTCCCTCTGTCCCCTGCCCCAGAGCCCTGATCCCCATGGGGAGTGGGGCCGTGTCTGTCCGTCCCCTGCCCCCAGGGCCCTGATCCCCTCGGTGTGTGTGTGTATGTGTGTGTCCATCCCTCCGTCCCCTGCCCCAGGGCCTTGATCCCCATGGGGGGGGGGGGCGTGTGTGTCCATCCCTCTGTCCCCTGCCCCCAGGGCCCTGATCCCCTCGGTGTGTGTGTGTATGTGTGTGTCCATCCCTCCGTCCCCTGCCCCAGGGCCTTGATCCCATGGGGGGGGGGCGTGTGTGTCCATCCCTCTGTCCCCTGCCCCCAGGGCCCTGATCCCCGGAGGGGGAGCTGTGTCTTCCCCGCCCCCAGTTGCTCATCCTCTCCGGCCGCAGCTCTGGTTTCCGGCCCTTCGGGTTGCGCAGCACCTTGCGCACCGGCCGCTTCCTCCACCCCCCGCTTCAGGATGTGTGTGTTTGTGTGGGGAATCTCATGCCACATGGGCAGGGCCGGCTCCAGGGTTTTTGCCGCATCAAGCGGCGCAAAAAAAAAAAAATAAAACCTGCGTTCGCGATCTGCGGCGGCAATGCGGCGGGAGGTCCTTGGCTCCGAGCAGGAGTGAGGGACCGTCCGCCGAATTGCTGCCGAATAGTTGGTCGTGCCGCCCCTCTCCGGAGTGGCCGCCCCAAGCACCTGCCTGCCAAGCTGGTGCCTGGAGCCGGCCCTGCACGTGGGCTCCCTGGTGTCTGGAAGACACACGCAGGAAACGTGGGCTATGAGCGGGAGTGGGGTGCAGGCTGCATGGGAGGGGAGACATGGGGGGGCAGGGAAGAGCAGAAGGATGGATGATGTGTGCTGGGGGGGACACCTGGAGAGGGGGTAGGGGGTGAGGTGGAGTGGAGGACTACAGGGGGGTGGCATAGAGGGCAGGTGAGGGGGTCACCTCACAGCCCCCCAGTACCCCTCCCCAAGACAGGGGATCACCCCTCAGTTTCACCCCGAGAAAGATGCCTCCCGGCCCCCCACCTCCAGGCTCCCCCCCACCGAGAGATTAAATTGGGGGGCTGTTTGGCCGAGGGGTTCCCCCACAGCTCAACCTGCCCCCCCAATATAACCAGCTTGGGAACAGCCTGCTCCCCCCCCCAAAAAAATAACCAGGATTTACAGCATTTACACTGCTCCAGGCCCCCCTACAGAGCCGTGGAGCCACCAGCCCCCCACCCCTGTTCTTGCTTCCCGCCCCGGCACGGCTTGGCACCAACGCCAGAGGCGCACGGTGAGATGCGTAAAAGCGCACAAGCCGCCCCGGGGGAAGAGGAGGTTGGAGACCAGTGGGTGGAAGGAGAACCGGCACCGGGACCGAACCGGACTGCCCCGCCCCAGCGAGAGACCCACCTGAACCGGGGAGAGTCCTTCAGACACTCCTCGAAGTCCAGTTTCACCGTCATCCTGGACGGAGGGAGAGAACCAGCCACGGAGGTTCGGGCTCCCCGGCACGGCCCGGCCCGGAGAAGGCTCTGAAACCACCCGAGCGCCTTGGGGAGAGAGGCAAAAAGCAGCCCTGGAGCGCGCCGCGCAAGGAGGCACCAATACCACCAGCCCTGCCCGGGGTGCGGAGACAGGAGAGAGCGCACGGCTCCCCGGCGGCCCCGCCCTGCGCCCCGCCTCGGGGAGGGGACCCAGGGCGCAGGGGGAGTCGCGGAGCCCAGCCCCGCCTCGGGGAGGGGACCCAGGGCGCAGGGGGAGTCGCGGAGCCCAGCCCCGCCTCGGGGAGGGGACCCAGGGCGCACGGGGAGTCGCGGAGCCCAGCCCCGCCTCGGGGAGGGGACCCAGGGCGCACGGGGAGTCGCGGAGCCCAGCCCCGCCTCGGGGAGGGGACCCAGGGCGCAGGGGGAGTCGCGGAGCCTAGCCCCGCCTCGGGGAGGGGACCCAGGGCGCACGGAGCCCAACCCCGCCTCGGGGAGGGGTCCCAGGGCGCACGGAGCCCAGCCCACCCCTGCCTCGGGGAGGGGTCCGAGGGCTGCCGATCCGGACCAGGTGCCTTTTCTGGCCGATGCTTTAATCCGGAATAAATTGTTGGACTCCTGTGATCTGGCGAAGGGCAGACTAGATACTCCACATCAGGGGTGGGCAAACTACGGCCTGGGGAGGAGGGTCGGGGGCCATTCCACGCGGCTCCCGTTAGCAGCGGCATGGGCCCCCCCTCTGGCTCCTAGGTGCCCCTGCAGCTCTCATTGGCCAGGAACCGTAGCCAATGGGAGCTGCAGGGGCGGCGCCTGCGGACGGGGCAGCGCGCACAGCCGTCTGGCCGTGCCCCCACGTAGGAGCCGGAGAAGGGACCTGAGATAAACGCCGGCCAGAGCCTGCACCCCAACCCCCTGCCCTGATCCCCCTCCGAACCCCTCGATCCCAGCCCGCAACCCCCTCCTGCACCCCAAACCCCTCATCCCCAGCCCCACTCCAGAGCCCGCACCCCCAGCTGGATCCCTCATCCCCCCTGCCCCAGCCCCTGATCCCCCTCCCACCCTCCAAGCCCCTTGGTCCCAGCCCGGAGCACCCTCCTGCACCCCAAACCCCTCATCCCCAGCCCCACCCCAGAGCCTGCCCCCCCAACTGGAGCCCTCACCCCCACTCCCCTGCCCCAACCCGGAGCCCCCATAATGTTAGCCGTACTGGTCACCTGTCTTTGCCTACGGTTCAACCCACTGATCTGCCTGAATGATTATCCACAGTAGTTAGTTATTCGCACTAATTATTGACACTAGTGATGTGTCCTCGTGATTATTCTGACCCACGGCTCACACTCATTGTTTGCACGACTGCACGGATTCTTTTCACTTATTATAGTGGGGTAGTGCGAGGCAGTCCAGAGGGAAGTGTCAACCTGCTGTGACGTGAGGCCGCTGTTGTAAGGATGAATTCCTGGATTTAGTGAACTGCACCTATTATCATTGCACCAATCCCTTGCACTAATGTATTGCACCAATCCCTTGCACTAATGTATTGCACCAATCCCTTGCACTAAATTATTGCTCGCACGACTAGCTGCACGAGCAGTTTAATTGCACCACTTTGCGCGAGATATTTCTTTGCACGAATTATACTTGCACCAATACTACCCATTAGTGAATTGTACCAGTATCGCCGCACCAGTCATTTGCACTCATTAAAACGGCACCAGGCATTGGCACTAAGAAGCGATTTGCTGATGGTTTCCATTCGTTGTCATTGGGCTAATCGCTGCTCATTACTGCGTCACGCCCCCTTCCCCAGCCCCGCCCTCCCGTAACGCGGGCAACAGCTGCAAGGAGGGAAAACATTGTGGCCACGCTGCCGTCAAGCAAAACATCCTGGCTCTGTGAAGCACGACAATGTCGTGAAACAAAGCCGATGCCTCCCTGCCCCGCCACGGCCGCCCAAGTGGGGCCTGCTCACGGCGGGCCCTAGCAACAGACGGTGCCGTGTCAACGTAAAGCGTCAGTGATCCGAAGCCGCCCCCGTTCTTTTTGTAAAAGCGACGCTGCCGTAAAGCAGCCGACAGCGCTGCCGTAAAGCGACCTCTCCCGTCCTGTCGCAAAAGCGGGTCTGTGGCGAGTGCGGGTTCCGCGGTGCCGTAAAGCGCAACTGTTCATTCACGGCCGTCAGGCCCGGCTGCTGGCCGTAAAGCGAGGTCGCAGTGGTGGAGCTGTTCCCCGAGTGCAGTAAAAGTGAAGCCGTAAAGAGAGAAGGGCCCCGGTCGCTGCCGTAAAGCGGCCCCAAGCCCCGTTTCCATGGTGCCGTAAAACGAGGCGGCCCTGAGAGCGCCATCAACGTGCCAGGAGCAGAGGTCGTGCTTCCCTTGGGCACAGCGCGTCGCGACGCGGCCGTAAAGCGAGATCGTCGCGAGAGGAAATGTTCGAAGCTACCGTAAAGCGCGACGGCAGCCGTTTGACAGGCGTCGCGAATCGACCGTAAAGCGCGGCGGCCGTTTGAGAGGCGTCGCGAGGCTGCCGTAAAGCGCGGCGGCGTGGTGGGAGAGGAGCGGCGGCGCTGCCGTAAAGCGCGGCGGCGCTGTGGGAGAGAAGCGGCGGCGGCCGTCTGACAGAGGCGTCGCGCGGCGGCCGTAAAGCGGCGCGGCCGGCCCGGGCGCGGGGCGGGATGTCGGGCCCGGGCGGGGAGCTGCACCCGCGCACGGGGAAGCTGGTGACGCTGTCGCAGGGGGGCCGCAGCGCCGCGCGCTCCCAGCCGGGCCAGGAGTTCAACCACGGGCTGGTGCTGAGCCGCGAGCCGCTGCGGCCCGGCCGCGTCTTCGCCGTGCGCATCGACCGCAAGGTGCGCAGCGCCGAGCACCGGGGGGGGAGGGGGAACGCGTCGACCGCAAGGTGCGCAGCGCCGAGCACCGGGGGGGAGGGGGAACGCGTCGACCGCAAGGTGCGCAGCGCCGAGCACCGGCGGGCGCGTCGACCGCAAGGTGCGCAGCGCCGAGCACCTGAAACAAGGGGGCCAGTGGGTGCATTGGGGCCGGCCCTGGATGCAAGGGGGGGCGTTGGGGCAGGCCCTGGCTGCAAGGGGGGCCCCGCAAAAGGGCCAGCGCTGACTCCTGCCATCTCTCCCGCCCCCCCCTCCCCAGGTGAACTCGTGGAGTGGCTCCATCGAGATCGGGGTGACGGCGCTGGACCCCGACCACCTGGACTTCCCTAGCAGCGCCACGGGGCTGAAGGGCGGCTCGTGGATCGTCTCGGGCTGCTCGGTGCTGCGGGACGGGCGCTCCATCCTGGAGGAGTACGGCCAGGACCTCGACCAGCTGGGCGAGGGCGATCGTGTGGGCATCCAGCGCACAGCCGCTGGCGAGCTGCGTCTCTGGGTCAACGGGCAGGACTGTGGCGTGGCCGCCACCGGCATCCCACCCCGCGTCTGGGCCGTGGTGGATCTCTACGGCAAGTGCACCCAGGTCACCGTAGTGCCTGGCGAGCCGGAGGAGGCCGAGGACGGCGCGGCAGGAGATGAAGGTAGAGATCCCCCCTTTTTTCTGCCGCCTAAGACTCTTCCCGGGGGCACCGCACTAACGCACGCCCCGTGTGTGTCCGCGGCGGGTTGGCTCCCTGATTTCCACAGCCAACACAACCAGCCTCGCTGTCTCGCTCCCGGCGAGCGACAGGCACTCCCCGACCTCCCCTTCGGAGTGTCCGCTGGACGCTCCAGTGTCTCCAGAAACGACCTTGCCGGGTCCCCCCTCAAACCACCGCCGTCCAACCTGTGGTCTTTACTGGTAAACACCACACGCGCTGTGCTGCTTGTCCTCTGCCGGGGGCTTCTTTCTTGCCAGCGCCCCAATCTCAATTAGCTGCCGGCTCCGGCTCCAAATGGACGTTCCCCGAGGCCGGACGCAGAGAGAAGCATCTGTTGTCTCCTGCCTGGTGTCTTCGCTCCTGGATTTGAAGAACGTCATTTTCAGTATAGACGCAAAACTCTTTCAGTATCCCCCGTCCACGCATCTCGCAAGGGCTAGGCCGACCAGCACGTCTCTGGCTGGCGGCAGCGATCTCGCATTTGCCCTTTGGTGCGTTGCTCTAGAGACATCAGACCTGGGGGATCTCCTCTGCACCCCTTCTGCCAGCTGGTATCAACGTCACCCCTGCTGTGACGGGGGGGATCCGAACCTCCGGGGTGCGTTCAGTGCCGGTTCCCGCCTGGCTCGTTTCCTGGGCACCGATTCCCGGGCTGCTGTCTCTTCTCGGAGCCAGCGCTGAGCCTGGAGGCCGCCCAGCCACTTAAACGTGCCCCCGTTGTGCCCAGGGGTGTGAAGCTTCTGCTTTAGAGGTTGCTCGTGGGCGAATTCGGCGCCCAAACAGTTAAAAATTTGGCACCAAAAATAAAATAAATTTTGCGGCAAAGGGTTAACAATTTTGCAGCAAAAATAAAATAAATTCGGCACCACAAATAAATTCTTCAGCAAACGGTTAAAAATTCAGTGCCAAAAAGAAAATAAATTCTGCGCCCAATATTTTAAAATTCTGCAAATCTTATTTGTCAAAATAACACTGCGTGATCACACCAATTTCAATGATCTTGGTAATTTTATTACAAAAATACCCGTCGGCAAGGACGTCTGTAACGATACACAAATTCCCCCAGGAGTCAAGGGTTAAAGAAACCCCGATGACCACCCAGTTCCCATGTCTCTGGTCCGTTCCGGTTACCCAGAGCCCCAGCCTGTCCCTCCGTGTCCTTGGTGCCCCCCCCCCCCATGTGCGTGAGGGGTCGTCTCCCGCCGGTGGGCTGTGGGTCGCGAGTGAGGGGCGTTGGCAGAGCTGGGGGGCGTTGGCAGGGCTGGGCTGGCAGGTTGGGATCGAGGGGTGTAACACTGGCTTCACTCCTCTTCCTCGTGTTTCTCTTCCCAGCCCTGCCCCTGCCCCAGAACCAGAGCCGCCCGGATAAATTCCCCAACAGCCTGGAGGCTGAGACCGGTGAGTGCCCCCGACTGGCCCCCCGTCTACACCACTCCTGCGGCGCGATCCGGGCTCGGACCTCCGAGCCGGTGCTGTCCCCGGGCTGGCCTGTCCCATCGAGCTTTGCCTGGGACGTTACCCAGAAGCCTTCGCTCCCAGCGGGGGGCGCTAGGCACGGTGGGAGGGGTGTGGCCGCCCCGCCCGTGAATTGTGCGGTGGCCCCGGGTCGAGTTCGGGTCAGGAGGTGGCGCTGCCGGGTTGAGCTTTCAAATTAGACCCCAGCCGGCCTGGACCTGGGCTCCCAATGGCCCGGCCCCGTCTCCTAGCCTGATCCCTTCTCCTAGCCCTGATTCTTCTCCCTCCCCCCTTTCCCTCATCTGTCCGTCCGTCCCTGGTTCCCCCCACAACATCTGTCCGTCCGTCCCTGGTTCCCCCCACAACATCTGTCCGTCCGTCCCTGGTTCTCCCTCCCCCGCATCCTTCTGTCCATCCCTGGTTCCTGTGTCCCCCCCCCCCGAACATCTCTCCGTCCGTTCCCCCAGGCTTGTCCAGCATGGAGCTGTCGGAGGTGGTGAGCAACGCCATCCTGTCGGCCTACAGCGGCAGCCTGCTGAACGTGAGCCTGGGCAGCCCCCCGCTGGGCGAGGGGCCCCCGGGCGGGGGGGGCGCCCCCCTCACCTCCAACGACGCCCTGCTCTTCCACGAGAAGTGCGGGACCCTCATCAAACTCAGCAATAACAACAAGACGGCTGAGCGGCGCCGCCCCCTGGACGAGTTCAACAACGGCGTGGTCATGACCAACCGGCCGCTGCGGGACAACGAGATGTTCGAGGTGGGGGGCCGGGATGGGGGAACACGGGGGGGGGGCTGGGGGGCAGTGGTCATGACCAACCGGCTGCTGCGGGACAACGAGATATTCGAGGTCGGGGGGCTGGGGGAACACGGGTGGGGGGGGGCTGGGCCGGCGGGGGGGGGGGGGGCGGAGGGTCCTGGCCAGCCAGACACTGAGTGATGAGATGTTTGAGATCTGGGGCTGGAATTGGGGTCCTTGGGGGGCGTGGGGCAACATGGGGTGGGGGGAGGATGCTGGCCAATCACACACTGAGGACTGGGATGGGGTTCTTGGGGGGGCTGGGGGAACATGGGGTGGGGGTTGCGGATGGGGGTCCTGGCCAGCCAGACACTGAGGGCTGGGATGGGGTTCTTGGGGGGCTGAGCTAGCTGCTGGACAATTAAATGTTCTAGGTCTGGGGTGAGGCCGGGATGGGGGGTCCGGGGGGCTGGGACGACTGGGGGG